CGTCACCGCGTCCGTGAAAGTACGCTCACGCGGTAAAATACACACGTCACCGCGTCCGTAAAGTATGTCACGGTTAAAATCACGCGTCACGCGTCCGTAAATTACGTCACGGTAAATACGACGCTCACCGGCGGTCCGTTGAAAAGTACTGTCACGGTAGAAATACCACGCGTCACCGCGTACATAATACGTCACGGTAAAGATAACTGCGTCACCGCGTCCGTAAAGTACGTCACGGTAAAATACATCGCGTCACCGCGTCCTCCGTAATGTACGTCACGTGATCGTGAGGATCGCGTGAGTAGTCACGTGTCTGTTAAATGCGACTCTCCGGGAAGCCAGGGGCCGGTTGGTGGGGGGGGGTCACTCAGTGGCCAGTGTAATAGAGTGAAACCATAGATCTCTATAGAGATGGCAATCACTGTCTATAAAGGCCACTTCATCAGGGCAGTTCACTCGACTACACTGGACGCAGGTTCCGACCGCGCTCGAGCGGCCCCCGAAGAGCCGCGCTCCACCCCCACAGAAACGCACACACCCCGAGCTCGTGCACCACAGGTGGACAAGGCTGACTCCGCCGGTACGCTGCGCCGAACTGCGACGACGACGACGCACGTCAATAGTGGTCGGCCGCTGAACACGCGCGCGGCCGCTTAATATCGCGGCCCGCGGGCAGCGGGCGGCGGCCCCGAGCTCATATAAATGCATGCGATAATTACCGCGTCCTGATCTCATCCAATATTTGGTAATGAGAAGGTGGCATCTACGCGCGAGTATGTCATTAGCCGTGCCGTAATTGAAGGCGAGAGAGGATGAAGGCATCTGCCATTAGGTGAGCCACCGTGGGGCGGCAGCAGCGACAAATTGTCGCTTCATTTGAGATCATCTGGCGAGGAGCGTACGTGCGCGATGACAATGCGCCGGGGTCGTGCGAGCCGCGCGCAGAGCGCAGAGCGCGCGGTTTTATCCCCGAGTTCGCAGCGGTCGCTGGATAATAATCTAGGTTACCGGTACATGTACGCATGCATATATGATATATGCTATATATATATATATATATTAGCATTATCTGATATATATAGTATATATCGCATATATAATAATATATAACACATCCATGCACGCTGCATGCATGCACATATATGTAAATGATCATTCACACACACAAGATATTATTGATGTCCTCACGCACGCTATACTCTGGTATTAAACGTGCTATTTTCGTCTTCATTATTCCAATTCTAACACTTCCCCGACGATGACGACCTACAACTAGCGGCAAGATTGACATGCTTCGACACGCCAACCACTGGTAAACCTACTTAACTGGCTAACTTACTAACCGATTTATTAATAACCCCGGAGGTTAGAAATCCGGAGAACTCTAGATGACTGAGACCGTCATTTCGTTAGCGTTCCCGTCACCGACAACCGCGCGAAGCCACACACGCGCAACATCCCACAGCCTCTCGTAACTCATCTCGCCCATCCCCAGCCTCCGTAACCACCTGCACCATAGATCAGCCTTCTGTACCCATCCGCGCATACCGCACAGCCTCCGTACCACCCGTGCATACCCTCAGCCATCCCGTACCATCTGCACATCCTCAGGCTCTCCGTACGGCACCACTGCATCCCTCAGCCTCCGTACTCACCCACGCATACCTCAGCCTCTCGTACACTCCCGCGCATACCCTCAGCCTCGCGACCACCCGCGGCACCTCAGCCTCCGTACCACCACGCAGCATCTCCCTCCCGGTACCACCCGCGCATCCCCACCACCCGCGCATCCCTCAGCCTCCGTACCACCCGCGCATCCCTCAGCCTCCGTACCACCCGCACAGTAACCTGCGTGGTGGCTCTTAGATGGCTTCATTCATCTCGATGGAACGCGCCATCAGAGGGTACACGCATAGCGGCGCATTCGCGAGGGTCGACCGCACCGTACCTGCGCACATCTTCGCCAGCCGATAAGTTATCCGCGTAAGACGCACGTGCGACGCATTCTGATTCGCACAAAATCGAAAAATGTGTGGTGCGCGTGTGCAGCGCTGTGTGTAGAGTACATGTTCATTACATACACATGCCATCCTAGCAGAATGACAGAACTCTGAAACGTTGACCGCGTGACCTCGATGACACGCGTGCGCACGGGAGGGGAGACCTCGGAATTCTCACCTGTCGACAAACATGAGGATGGTTTCCCGATCGTCCTTGTACTTCTTCAAGCCTTCCTTGAGGAGGTTGATCTTGAAACCCCCGCCGGGGTAGTCCATGTCACCTCCCTTCCATTCCTGATCCAAGCCGAGAACCTGTGGACAGCATAATTTGCCTGTCGGTCACTCACTGCCTACTGACCGTGGATTCGCGCTTCGATTCGAAAACAGATCGCACGATGACGTCACATAACAATGTTGGAAATAGCATAATAGTAGTGTATTAGCACCCTGACTCCTAGTCCGAAACTCCTAGGCAACTAATGAACAGAACTGGTAAATTTTTTCATGGATTTTACTCTGGGTTGTAGCTATAGTAGAAACCACAAAAAATCGAAATCAGGATTGGCTGGGTTTGCAGACGTTTTTTCATGACTGCACAAAACCTATAAGAATACAAGATTATTATATCTAACCATGTACATACAATATAACATGTAATGGTTGTCTTTAGACGCCTGGTAGAATGTGGCATTTTAAAATTTCGAAATAATATTACACGAGGATTGAATCACACGATGTACAATAGGATTCTTTCGTGTGAACATGTATCAATGCTGCCTCTGGTTGATCGCATTATCTCATTGTTCATAATTAGCTGGCTGTATCATATATGTATTGTATTGTGCTGTATCATCATGTATTGTATTGTATTGTGGTGTAACGGTATGTATTGTATTGTATGTATTGTGTTTGTGTATCTCACCGTGATCTGGCTGTCTAGGTTGACTGCTCTTGCTGACCTCCTGAATCTATCATACCCGCCAGTCTCCTCTGAAGCCACAGTTACTATCTCAAGCTTGGCATCTGTAAAGAAACAATAAACATGCAGTATATAATAGCAATATCTATATTATATATAACTAATTATCTATCTATCCATTCATCCCCTCAGCCATCCAAGGCCGCACACCTACCTATACATCCATCCACCCATCCATCCATCCATCCATCCATCCATCCATCCACCCTTCCATCCGTCCATCCATCCATTCACCCACCCACCAACGGCATACTATCAAACCCTTCTGAGTTCTCTTTCAGAATTCCCCTCCCCCCAACCTTGAGAAGCCAGGGACAGAACTAGTGAGGTACGTGTGCACACCCTTCTACCAGTCTCCTGCCTGCATCTCTTTCTAATACATGTCACGAACAATTCGAATGATGTTATCACATAAACCCATCAGGTAGGTAACTATAATGTGTTAAGGTTGGAATAATGGCCTGAAAAAATATATATACCACACACATCTATGCACTGCACACATATCTAAGCCATACATTATATCAGGAGTGTATCAAAATTTTGATACACTCCTGATTATATCACGGGAGTGAATAGAAGCAAATACGAATAATGTTTATTTACTCCCGATTGCACAATTCAATGTTCATGGTTACGGTTAGGTACTAATTGAGCCGCCTGCTACTGGTCAATACTTGGATTTACAGTAAGACCACTATACATCTTTCAGAGGTTACTAGCTGAGTAACTAGATGCTTGGTCACCATGCATCATTCAGATGCAGCCAGCCCAGGCCTGTGGCAACAAGGGCTATATAGTACTAGAGCTACCAGCTAGCCCAGCAACTCGAGCCAGCCGCTCCCGGGTGCAAGGTTGCAGAGAATATTTATAACTAGTTACATAATAGCCGTAATGTTTTGACTCTCCCAGCTGTTGTGCTCCTTGTGCCAGTTTTCTGTTTGCTTCGAGCCAACCAGCTACTATGGCTCATAGGGTCTATATGACCCCCAGGGTACTATCGGAGGGTATACCCTGGGTACGGTTCGATATATCGGAACGTACCCTGGTAAATATCTGATATGGTTAGGGTTAGGGTTAGGGAGTAGGCGTAGGCGACTCCCTAGACTCGTTAGTGGAGTAGGAGAGGTACGGTCCGGAATATTAGATATTACCAGGGTACCCTCTGATAGTACCCTGGGGGATATATAGACCCTCTCACCGCTACTATGATCACCACCGTTTCTCACTCGCATTAACTAACATAACATATATTCATAACGATGAGTATGAATATGTTCACGTCTTACTTAACATATCGAATTGAAATGTTTCTACATGCTAGATTCTTAGTCTTGTACACCCGTCTCAATAACAACACACCTAAGAATAATAACCTATAATAATACCTAAGAGAACAATTTTATTTCGTGATAAATCTATCATGTAATTTTCCTGTTAGCAAGAGATTCAACAACTGCATAGTCAAGCTGTCTTTTTCAAGCTAAAACTTACTGTCCACTAAACTTACTCAGAAGAAAAACGCACGTAGGTGTCACATTAACTCTTTTCCTAACAGATTAATATATATAACCATGAGAATGGAGAACAGAATTTACGATGAAACAGAGTCATGTAAGCACGATATTGTAGGCGTGTCACCCTGTGATGGCCCTGGGGGGGGGGTGAGGTGTGTGACATCTCCTCCGACACCGAGGCGGTAAGATTGCGTTTCCTGCAACGTAGGTGGGTGAGTTGGGTAAGAGAAGAAAAGAGTAGAGAAGAGAAGAGAAGTAATTCACTAACTTCGCTTTATATACATTAATAGTTGAGCTTGTCTCAAGATGTCAGAGGTGTCTCGTTGAATGTCTCACGATGTTAGAGGCATCTCGATGAATGTCTCACTACGTCGGGGGCATCTCGTTCAATGTCTCAAGACGTCAGGCGGCATCTCGTTAAATGTCTCAAGATGTTAGAGGCATCTCGATGATGTCTCAAAATGTCAGAGGTGTCTCATTGGACCCCTCGAGACGGTGACTCACCCTGAGCTCCGCGTCCAGGTAGATGTTGGTGTAGTAGAGCTGGTCGTCGTCGCCGTCGGCAACGACCTTGTGAGTGAGCACGGCGTAGATGTCAGCACCGTAGCCGATGATGCCTAGCAGACGACAGATAGCGCGTCGTTCAGCGCGGTTACGTGTATGGTGGCGCCGCCGCCGCCGCGCGTGCGTCATGCGCGCGTTTACGATATCACACGTGCAAGGTTATGTACCTTCTCATGTTTACAGTTTACTGACTGTTACCAGTTACATAACAAGACACCGATACTCGTGCACACACACACACACACACACACACACACAGGCACGCACGCACGCGTAGACACAAATCTTATTAATCAATCTATTGTTATATTATATATTTGATTCTAATCTCTCTTTATTCGCATCCAATTCAAGCTAGAAAACTCGGTTTGAATTAATCGAAACTGAACATGCTTAAGACACTGATTGATATGACGAACATAAGATGGTTGTCTGCTTGCATGTAGTTGACTATATTTGAATTTACCTCCAGAGCATAGGTAGTGCTTGCCAGACTGCACCTCTGGATACTTTTTCTATATAAAAAAACAATTGTAGGGATAAGAATAAGAAAGTGTCTCAAAAAGACGTTCAAACTGCTATCATAAACTACTCGTTGTTCAAAAAATTTAAATGATCTTTAACCACCTTTAGTTTTTACGTTGCATCGTGAAACATGCATAACATCACATTCTTCGTCTGAAAGACAAGATTACTAGATGCTGACCCCACTATTAACTAGCGGTGACTCAGAATATGAAGACCACTGCTAACTATGGCTCATAGGGTCTATGTCCCCCAGGGTACTGCCGGAACGTACCCTGGGGTACGGTCCGGTATACCGGAACGTACCCTGGTCACTATCTGATATGGTTAGGGTTAGGGTTAGGGTTAGGGAGTAGGCGTAGGCGACTCCCTAGACTCGTTAGGGGAGTAGGCAAGGTACGGTCCGGCATATTAGATCGTACCAGGGTACATTCCGGTATACCGGACCGTACCCAGGGTACGTTCCGGCAGTACCCTGGGGGACATAGACCCTCTCAGCCTAACTATGAGTGACAGCAAACATGCAGAAGGCACAGACCACTGCCCTTTCTCCTCGGAAAGCTCTGACACACGCACGTGCATATCCCATCGTGCATGCAGAGCTGCTGCCGCGGCCGGATCATTAGATCGCGATGAGCAGGATTCATTAACAGGTAAGATCACCAGCTGCCACCTCAAACATGGATCCATATCCATCCATCCACCCCCATATTGACTGCCCAATGTGTGTGTATGTGTATCTATATATATATATAGATATATATATATAGAGAGAGAGAGAGAGGAGGAGAGAGGAGGAGGGAGAGAGAGAGAGAGAGAGAGAGAAGAGGAGGGAGGGATCGTCTTTCGGCCGCCGGTGCGCGTGTATTATTAACCGTGAACCGTACTTAATAACCGGTGACGCGCTGTATTTTCCGTGACGTACATTAGGAACCGGTGAACCGCGTGATTTTACCCCACCCCGTGACGTAGCTTTACGGACGCCAGGTGAACGCTGTACTATCCTTACCCGGAGCATAAACTTTACGGACGCGTGACAGCGTGTTATTTTACCGTGACGTACTTTACGTACGCGGTACAGCCGTCATTTTACCGTGACGTACTTTACGCACCCGTGAACGCGTGTCATTTTACCGTGACGTACTTTAACGGGACGCGGTGACGCGTGTATTTTACCGTGGCGTACTTCTACGGACCGCGGCGATGCGTGTATTTTAAACCGTGGCGGTTCAACTTTACGGACGCGGTACGCGTGCATTTTAACCGTGTACGTACTTTACGCGACGCTCGTGACGCTGTGTATTATACCGTGAGTACTTTACGAACCGCGTGTACGCGTATTTTTTCACCGTGACTTACTTTACGGACTGCGGTGACGCGTGTATTTTACTCGTGACGTACTTTACGGACGCGGTGCCGCGTGTGATTTTACCTGACGTACTTTACGGATGCGGTGACGCGTGTATTTTATCCGTGACGTAACTTTACGGACGCGGTGACGCGTGTATTTACAGTGACTATTGAGCGGTGACGCGTGTATTTTACCGTGACGTACTTACGATTTATGCATTTTACCGTGGACAAATAATTATAGACGCGGTGACGCTTGATTTTACCCGTGACCGAGTACTTTACCGACGCGGTGACGCGTGTATTTACCTGACGTTACTATTACGGACGCGGTGACGCGTGTGTATTTTAAAGCCGAGACGTACTTACGGATGAAGATCCGCGTGTATTTTACCGTGACGTCACTTACGGACGCGGTGGCGCTGTGTATTTTACTCGTGACGTACTTACGGATGCGGTGACGCGTGTCTTTTAACCTGGTGACGTACTTACGGACGCGGTGTGGACGCATGTATTTTACCGTGACTACTTTACGACGCGGTGAACGCCCATGTATTGTTAATCGTACGTACTTTAGCGGACGCGGTGGACGCGTGCATTTTAACCGTGACGTACTTTAACGGACGCGGTTGAACGCGTGGTATTGTTTACCGTGACGTACTTTACGAACGCGTGACGCGTGTATTTTACCAGTGACGTACTTTACGACGGCGGTAAACTGCCGTGTATTTACCGTGACCGTACTTTAAGCCGACGCGGTGACCACGCGTGTATTTACCGTGGCGTACTTTACGGACGCGTGACGCGTGCATTTTACCGTGACGTACTTTACGGAACGGCGTGACTGCGTGTATTTTACCGTGACGCTACTTTTAGCGGACGCGGTGAGCTGTATTGTTACCGTGACGTAACTTTACGAACAGCGGTGACAGCGTGTATTTTTAGACCGTGACGTACTTTACGGACGCGTGAACGCGTGTATTTTACCCGTGACGTACTTTACCGACCGGTGACGCGTTATTTTAACCGGTGCGTACTTTACGGACGCTGGTGACCGCGTTGCATTTTACGCCGTGACGTAACTTTACGGACAGCGGTGACGCGTGTATTTTTATCCGTGACGTACTTTACGGATGCGGTACGCGTGCATTTTACCGTTACGTACCTTTACGGGACGCGGTGACGGCAATGGTTATTTTATTACCGTTGACGTACTTTTACGAACGCGGTGACGCGGTGTATTTGTATTACCGTGACGTACTTAACGAACGCGTGACGCGTGTATTTTACCCGTGACTTACTTTACGATGCGGTGACGCGTGCATTTTACCGTGACGTACTTTAACGGACGCGGTGACTGCGTGTATTTACTGTGCCGTATATTACAGACAGCGGTGCAGCATGTTTTTTACCCGTCTGTGTTCGTTTTTCCAGTCCCTGCAGTTACGAACGTTTTGTTCACGGCGGGAGCCGACGCCCTCCTGGACAAGTTTCGCGCAGTCCGGGGCGCGCAACTCCTCTTCTCCGCCGAGGATTACTGCTGGCCGGACAGTCAGCCTAGCCGTAAGTTCAGCACAGCCTGCGGTGCCCTGTCCCTGTTTCCCCTGTCCCCCCATTGCACCCGCCCACGCTCCTGTGTTCGTTCCCATCCCTGCCAAAACGCCACTCATCCACGGCTCCCACCTTTGAGCCTACTGGTTAGTGCTGTATTGGTGTATGTATATCTATCTCTCTGGTCTGTTAATCTAACTATTTATCATATCTTATCCATCTATGTATCTATCTAATGATATCTAATCTGTATCTATCTATCTATCGTATGCTATCTATCTAATCTATTCTATCTAGGCTATTAATCTATCTTTATATCTTTCCTATCTTGAATTCTATGTATCTAGGTATCTATCTATTCATTCATACATTACCATCGCTCACTGACCTCACCC